AACTCGTTAGTAGGATGTACGTGCATTTCAGAGTTGATGTTGACTCAGGAACTTGAACCCAGTACCGTTCGCTTCAAATGCTAGCTATTGAGACCTAATAACCCAGATGCTAAGTCAAGAATGATTAAATTTCAATCAAACAATCAACAACGAGATAGTCCAAATCATTTGAAATTCATTAACAGTTAAGTTTTATATTGTCAGTAGGTGATCGTGGAGATTGTTAAGTAAATCATGAACCGATCTAAGTTAGATCTCCACTGAAAACTTGAAAGCGATCGATCGAACGATCGTTTCGTCCTTATTCAAGTGAGTTCCAGTGAGAAGTTGTGACCAGTGCAGGTAAACAGTGTTGGGCGTGAGGAAGTTACCTACTGAAGACAATGGAAGATAATCGTATAATACCGTGGATTGATTGAAGTTAGACAATAACGCTATAGGGTGCCAATCTAGTGTTCCACGCGTGTGAAAGTCATGAGTTCGCACTGCTGAAGAGTTCCATGTTAGAAAAAAGTGATCTTCCATTGCTTTCAGGTTTTCAATGGTGGCCTAGCTTATATTGGTTCATGATTTCAATAAGACGTATTGTTTGTTGTGGAGTTTTTGTAGCAAGGTGATTGTTACACAAATCAGAGTTTACTTTAACTTTAACTTCAACGTTTACTGACAAATTAGTGTCTATTCATTACTGGAAAGTAATTAGTGGTGGGTGATTAAAGGTAATCAAAAGCTGATAACCCTATTTGGTTTGGGTTCTTTTTAAGTTGGCACTCTCTATCAAGGTGTATCCGAAATTTTGAGGAAAATAGTTGTATTTGCGGTTTTCTAGCTCTTGTCATTCAGCATCACAGTTTGAGACATTACCACTCAGTTATTTAGGTAGAGACTGACCTCTTATGCGACTGAGATATCTACAATTGACAGGTAAGTAAGTAGGAATGGTCTGTGTCATAACTGCCAGTGCTGACCTAATTCTATCGGTGAAGTGGTAATGTATCATTTGATCTAAGTGAATTAACACCGTGTACACTAGGTTGAGATGTACTACTACTACATACTATCTGATATTCATAAACAAGGCGTACATCTCAAACCAATCCATCTCATGTTAAGTTATTTAGACTAACACTTACAATGTAACTTAATCGATAGAACTATATGAGTTTTTAGGGGTTGATAAGAATGATAGTGGTGACTACCATTCAATGATCAATCAGTTACAATATTTAATGTCAATTTCGGTTGAATACTATTAATCAACTTAATATTATGACTGATACTGGATAAACAAGTGATAATATGAAAAGCGACGCTGTAGTTAAGGAGAACATAGCTGAGGCAACCGGATTGGTTTTAACGAAAATTACAGGTTACTCAGTAAAATAGGAAAAACATATCGTCAACGGTTAATTTGCAAATCTTCAATCAGTCATCAATCCATTGTCTGACATTTCACTTATTCATGCATTTCATACAAATTACATTGTGTTCCCACTCTTCATTTCTTGATCTTACCCCTTCTTCTGCTGCCAGACATTACGTTGACACTCATGTCATATACTACTTATAAGTAGCTCGCACCACAACGCAATCAATTAATATCAAGCAAACACATTTCCATTAGACGTGTAACGTCCTAACCCAACCCTCAAATAATAAAAAGACAATTGAAAACAAAAGATTTATGCTCAGTCTCAACCGACAATGATACATTGAAGAACTAGTAGGTATTTAAAGACGTTTTACTGTATGCAAAGGAAATGATCATTTTAGGACACAAATTTTTGATAGCACCTGATCTAATGATTTCTGCTTGGTTTGCTAATACCAGTTAATGATTACTAAAACAATTTATCTTTCCAGTTCATTCTGGTTGAACTTGTGTGAATCAATGTATTTCCTAGCTAAGAATATTTGAACATTTTTACGACTTATTATTGTTACATGTTTTGGTGAAGGTGATGAATTGAATCGATAATCTACATTGATTTAGTCTTTATGTTTGCTAATATTAGAAAATATTTAGAATTTTTAAAACAAATAAAGAGTTTTTATCCTCCCCTCCTTTATGGTGTTGATGCTGGGTCAGAGCTTACATGAAATTCAGATCATGCCTTTTTTGACAAGTGATTTCAAGCTGTTTCATTGTATTATGGGGTTATGGAGATTGTTGAGTTGCTTACCGAAACCATGAATCGATCAATGTTAGACCATCATTAGGAACCTGGAAGCACTGAACGGCACTGTTAGTGAGCTCCATACCAGGACGAAACTCAGCAATCTCCATAACCCCATAACTCAGTTACCTGTGCTCATTTTATACTAGCTCCATGAGAAATCTTCTCCGAGTTCTAGTGAGAAGTTGTAAGCAGTGTAGTTGAAACCCCATTCGGTTGTAGACAGTGTATGAGGTTGCGCGAGACTGTGAACTGATCAAAGTTAGACATTAACACCGTTAGATAACGGCTTAATAGTCGACACGCGAGGCGTTCGCGCTCAAGACCGAAGGTCCTGTTTCATTGTTATCAAAGCTCTCGTAAATATTTATATTTATCATTTAAATTACACAAGAAAGAAATTTAAAGACTGATTATTACAAATTTTTATTCATTGTTCCTCATCAGCCACTTGTAAATATTTTATTACAAGGTTTATTGTTCTTTATTGTTAGTATCAGTTATTTGAAGAGTAGTGATGATATAACCCTTTATGTGAATGAAATTAAAATATCTTGAGTTGAGTAAATAGTAAGGAGGGAAAGTGAAAGGAAGTGTACATTTTTCATCGTCAGTCGAAATAATAAAGTGATGTTGAGTAACATTTGAACTTCTTAGGTTCGATTCTACATGAGTATGGATTGTTGAGAAGTTTCAAGTGATTATTTCACTCAGTACTTATTGTTATTTTTTGATTTTAAAAAAGAAACTCGATTTTATCGTAGAAAAAAATGTAAAACAATATCACCAATCATTTAAAGATAGGTTTTCTATTACTGAAATTCGAAAAAATACCGAAATTTTACTCGTCTAACATTTGATTCACAAGTATACCAGAAAATTTATATGTTAGGATATTCATCAAATATCTTAAAGAAATTATTTTGTGAGTCTAATTCTATTGGTCAATATTTAAGGTCGTCCTAAACTATCAAGTTCACATACTTTTTAATGTACTTTCCTATTGGTTAGTATTCACGATCGACCTAACTGTATAAATATGTATTGTCTGTAAAGTTCTATGCTCCTCTTCTTCTTCTGCACAAAACCTCATATTTTCTGGGTGCTTGTAGAATACACTTTCTACGCCATATCACGGATTTTTGATACCGTTATTGGGGGCTTGGGACGCTCGGATTAGAGTAGCCTATCGTGTCACTTGATCATTAGTTATAGATCTCGTTTACCGACTAAGGTGAACTCGTAATAGTTCAAGCATACCAATTGACGAGCATAACATTATGTTACCTAATATTATCTAGATATATAGAGAAACATGATTTAAATATTTGAATGAAATTCACACTATTGACTGATGCTAGCTAGGGCATAAAGCAAGTGGAAAGACTGTTGTGTACATTTATGAGATCCTTTGATTTCAATAAACAGTGAACTTAAAGTTTTCAAGTTTCTCAGTAAGTGCATACCTTTAAACCAATAAGTTCTCATCCAATAGTTGAAATATCTAATTTCAGTGACTATATGATATCAAGTTAACATTATCTAATGAAATAAATAACATTTAATCTCGAGTTCTATAGCCTATCGTTACACAAAACCTGAGTTAGTCATTCAGTTACAACGTAGAACTTCGTACGTACGAGCATCAACTCAGTTTGCCATACCCCATCAGCACAGAGACGCAACTGTCAGTTCCAATCCCATAGCAGTAGAGATAGTAGAAGTATTAGCAGTAATGGAAAAGATTAGGGTTCGAAGATGTTATTCAAGAAGTATAATTCAGTGAGATAAATTTAGCAGGAGAAAGATAGAGATGAAGAGGAATTCAGAGGGTAAGAATTTGAGAGAACACAATGAATGGATGCACCTGCACCATTGCACGCGATTTTGGGCCATGTCGTTCAATGTCTTTAACCATCGATTACTATCGTCTCGCGGACCCCAACCACGTAGCCTACATCTACCAACATGACTCAGTCAACTTGTCAGTGACTTCATGGATTTGTACCATGTTTTGGTTTGGCCGCCCCTACCTTTCTTCTAATCTGCTCCTAGACCACAAAACACAGCTCTTCGAGGCAGTCGGTGGTTGAGAATTCGTAACACATGTCCCAACCACCTCAAATGATGGAGTTTCAATACTTCATCTATTGATTTGCCATCCCAACTTAGTACTCGATTCCTAACTATAGCATTCATGACTAGATTGTCCCGGGATGCTCTGAAGACATCCATAAAATAATTCTAATAACCTAGGAATATCTTCTACTCTTACCGGCCATGTTTCGCATCCATATATAGAACAGAGCGAACTGCTGCTCAGTACACTCGTCCTTTGGTTAGCAGAAGGATATCTTGCCTACGCCATTAGTGACGCAAGTTGGCAAAAGCCAATTGAGCTTTATGTATCCGTGCTGAGATTCAGTCACACACCGGGCCATCAGCATTAATGAGACTCTTCCAACATACTCCCACACCACAAAGCATCACTTATCGAGGTAGTCAGTGGTTGGGCATTCGTAACACATGTCCCAACCACCTCAAATGATGATGATTTTCCATCCCTACCTAGTACTCGTTTCCTAAAGACAGCATTGCTTACTCGGCTGTCCTAGGATATACGAGCAATACTTCTAAGGTCTTGGGATTGTGGATATTCACCACTGTTTCAGAATCTCCTTTTAGGATATAACAACTGTTAAACGGTTTCCTATTTTTTCAATGATTGTCTAGTTTTTAATGTGAAACTTCAATTTCAGTTAGTCTCCACAATATCTCTATAAAAGTACAAATAGTAATTTCTAAAAAAAATTAGAAACTTACCTCTAATTTATAAGCTACTGTACCATTTAATCCATAATCGAAATCTTTTGCCAAAGGTAAAATAGCAATTTCACGCTTTTTACTACCACTACCACTACTGTGAATTAAAGGACTTTCAGTAGTCACATATCCACCAGTCCAATACGGTGATAATAATGATAGATGATAATGCTGATCAATGGTTGATACATCTTCACTAATTTCAAGTTTTAATCCACTTGTATATTGATCAAAACGTGGTATATTATCATTGATATCTTGAATATTGACAGGAATATTAATTAAAATTGGTTTAAATGTACGATTTTGACTGATTAATGCAAATTCCAAAATAATTGTACAATCAATTTGTGATGGATCATCAGTAAGATCTGATTAAAACAAAAGAAAGAAGAAAAATAAAACACACAAAAACAAATGTTCAACAATGTTCAGACATTTAATCAGTAATTGTAAAACAATCAATTCAATTTACAATTTTCTTCAGATTATTTAATATTAGATAAAATAGGATTTATTGATAGTAAATTGTAATTTCCAATTGTTATTCTATAGTCTATAACCTGCAGTTGAATTTCAGTGAAAAGTAATAAATACAGAGACACTGGTGTAGTTATCATTCGACAAATGTCAGTTGTTGGTAATGAATGATTAGAAGAGATCAGTGAAATGTTCTAGTCTTTTTACAGTTCATGTGACTTGACACATTTGAATAAGGCATTTCTCTAATCCTACTGAGAGAAATAGCTCCCTGCAAGATTCAAACCCATGTAATTCGAGTGCACAGTCGAAGATGAAATCAATTATATGTTAAATGCTCAGACTACCTCACTTAAGACCGAGATTTAAACACCAACTAATCACTGAATAGAAAAGTATTCGTGAATTTTTTCAACCAACCTACCATAAGTGACTCCCGACCGTAGCTGCTACCTTGAAGTGGTGGTCGGGCTTGCCTATCGTCATGACCCAACCGAGCTATATTGGCTGGAACATATGTTCCTGAAGCTTCTACCATGCTAGGCAGGTCGATTGGAGAACGATGAGACTAAAAGCAGCTACTCAAGGTCTGAGGGTGATGGCAGTAGGTGATTCCCTCGGACAACCAGAATCTGCAGCGATGCTGCCTTCTCACAAGGAAGGAAGGGTTAGAAAAGGTCGACCCTAAAAATGTCACACCTCACCCTACCTCACGGATTTCCGTCTCCGGTGGTAAGGGTGCCCACTGAGGGCTTTCAAGAGCGGAGCTAATACTCAAAAAACCTTTAATAACAAGGCTGACTGACCTCAAGCAGTTGTCCCCTGGGTTCTGCGGTCACGCTCCTAGGTCGTTAAGACCAACACTAATCTACTTTGCTTTTCAGGTTCCTCAAGAAACACCCTTCCACGGTGTGGGCAGCCGGGAAGTGACAACCGCCCTCATACCCGTAACAGAACACGAGAACAAATTGGTCAAAATCAAATCCTTCCTACACCCCCTAATATCTCTCTACTCTCCACAACAAACTCTACTCACATTCCCTTATCACAGTGCACCGCTAATGCAAATGATACGAGTTCACAAAACGTCATTTCTGGTCTCCTGAAACCCCGTTCTAGACTACATTTTGGAGCATATAATGTATGGACATTGTGTCGAATACGTACATCCAATAGTAGAAGAGGTAGTAAAGGTATTAGAAGTAATCGGAGAGGTTAGGATTAGAAGATATTATTCAAGAAGTGTGATTCAGTGAGAAAAGTTTAGAAAGTCGAAACTAGAGGGGTTGAAGAACCCAGAAGATTACGATTTGAGAGAACACAAAGAATAAATGCACCGGCGCCATTGCAAACGGTTTTGAGCCATGTCATTCAGAGTCTCTAACCATCGATTATTATCATCTCGCGGATCCCAAACAGGTAGTCGAAAATTACCGACATGACTCAGTCCACTTGTCAATGACTTTATGGATTTCTGTCATGTTTCGGTCTGGCCGCCCCTAACTTTCTTCCAACCTACTACTATACTACAAAACAAAGCTCGTCGAGGCATTCGGTGGTTGGGCATACGCAATACATGTGCCAACCACCTCAACTGATGAAGTTTCATTACTTCATCTACTGATCTGCCATTCTTAACTACGAAGTTCTACGTTGCATCTGACTGACTGACTGACCATAAGTGACTTCTGGTTCATGTGACTTGACATAGTATGGATTATGTATTGATTCTAGGCGGTTGACGCGAATTGGAAGGGATGAATCACCAAATGAAGTTAGCTGGTGACTTAAAGTGTTTTCATGTTATAGTGTGCAAAATCTTTACCAAAAGAAAACTAACCAATTAAAATTTTACAGAGTGAACTCAGTTGAGATATCATTGATATTTATCTGTGATGAATGCAACCTAAAGATTAGACTCAATCTCTGTAGACCCACCTCAGTAAATTATAATATTATCGGGGATTTAAAGAGTTTTGAGTGTCTGAAGATAGTGCCCACAGAAACCCCTAATATCAAAATAGGCTAACTGCTTTCCGTAATAAATATAAATGCTTTTATTAAGCTTAAAGCATCAAGAATCTTGTAACAAGATCTCTACTGAATTCTATACATCTCAACTAACTCTATTCTTTAGTGTATTCTAAGCGATAATTAATTTCTCAATGTCACATCAAATAATCTTCTAGTCTTCTCTTTTTCTAACAAATATTAATGTTTTGTTTTGTTTATTGTTTGAACAAACAAACAAACAATCTAATCACAAAGTCGATTAATTCCCACTGTCAATAATTAAAGAGTTGAACTATGAACAAACATGAAATACAAATGTCAATTTTTGTGAAAACAAAAACACACCAGCTTCGAAAACATTCAACATTCAATTTATATGTTGTACTTTATTGTTTGAATTTGTTCACATAATTTCTCAATGCCATTAGGATGGATGTACAAAATGAAGTTTTGTTATCAAGTTTATATAAACCCAATTTAATAAGTACTTTTATGGAGAAGTAGGCAAGATGCATGTAATTTCGAATGATGTGAGTACAATTTGCTGAAAAAAAATTCAGAATATCTTCAAAACCTAGGTCAAGCAAGGTTTCCTATCGATTACTTTCAACCAATTAACATCTTCACATTGTAAAGACGTTCTCGGATTATTTAGATTGTTACCTACATTGCAGACTGATTGAATGAATCAGGTTATAACTGATGGGATAGACAAAAATGACTACCACTCAGTTATCAATGAGTGATATATAAATGTAGATTGATGTTGTGGCTTAGTTGTTAACTCAATTAAAAATTATCTACTGGCTAGTTAGTTATAAACAACCACCTATGGACTTCAGCTGTGCAAACAGTCGACAATTTAACTGATCTTCAAGCTTAAGATCGAAAAACAAAACATGTACTGACCCACTGAATCATTTCTAAATGACGTAATATTTTTTCATAATACTAGATAATATTAAGTCTAAATTATTATTACGTAATTCATCCGATTATTATTGCTACTAATCTACCCTTAAATAATTTTGGGTATATATTTGGACGCTACTTTTTTAACATTTTAGCCTTACATAAATGTATTTCTTTAGAACAGATTTTCCCTATTTATTCCGACGTGAAATGTCAGCACAGCAAGTGAATGCAAATGACAAGGCGTAGACTGGCACGGCCAGAGTAGCATTCCTATAAGTGAAAATTATCTAGAACTCGAAACAACTGTCAATTAACATCAAGATCACAATTTTCAATGAAAATCAATATTTATGAACCGTTCTATACGTAATATGATCCGGATTCATCAGTCAGACTGTATCAGCAATAAGCCACAGTGGCAGATAACAAACCAGAAGCTGGTAGTTAGGAAACGACCCCACAGGTGAATAAGACATACATTGTGAGTATCATCAAACTGCACCACAAAGCAAGTCCGAATCTATAGTTCTCAAAGCTAAAGGAAAAGAGGCAGACCATAAGAAACCTCATTTCACCGGGAATCGAATGCAGACATCAAAAGAATGGACAAAACCAGGAAACAACTGGGAAAGAGAGGCTAGGACCGAGTTAATTAGCGATCACTGGCCGCCGGTCTATGTTCCGTAAAAGGTGAATGGCGTAAGTAATCAATGGGTTATACAAACTGATCATATTTTTCTCCAATCCAAGGTGATCAGCATAGTATAAAGAGAAAGAAATGTAACTGAAAAGTATAAATCGCTCAAATTGCATCACATAGATTATAATAGTATCATTCCTGTCATGCACATTAACAGTTTTTTAAGTTTGACCAAATGTAAATTTATGACTAAAGTGTACATAGTACTGTATGATAAATAAAACAATTAACTACTCAATTCAAATGTAAATAGTGTTGCAGTTCATAGTGTAAATTGATTTTTGTTGAGGATGTGAGATCCCCAGAATTCTCTTGATAAATGCCTTAATTTTGTATTTCACGTTTGCCAGCATGGGCTGATCAACTGACCTTGAGATCTCATTTCCCACCAGCAAAATCCATGGCTGTGATTGGCTGCTGTGTATTTTAGTGTGCTATTTTCGTAACTGTCCCAATGACGTTTCTATGATGTATAAATAAACGAGAGTTGTATGCTTGATTGTATTGTGATTGCTGGTTGTTTGTAGAATATACTTTCTACGCTTACAAAGTCTTCTATCTTCACCTTGGGAATCAAGGTAGCCTACCTGGACGCCAGGTCATTGTCTCGTTCTCGTTTATCGACTAAGGTGAACCACGTAATAGCTTCAAGTGTACCTAGTGACGAACCCTACAATTATTAAGTCGATCAACCTTATATATCAACCAATATTTAATTAAATTTTTGTAATCTCCTTTCTTTTCTTTTTTTTCTAGTGTAAATCTTTACAATCAATGAAATTCCCAATGGGATTTCTATCAATAATAAATGATAATAATCGAATATTCAATCGGGTATATTCTTTTTTTTCTCTATCCTTAGTTTACAATATTAACACCAAATGTACACTTTGAATATAAGTATGTCTTGTATAAATATTCATATAAAGTTAAGTGATTTCATATCTACATAAAAATTTTTAAATCTTATTATTGTCGTCTTTGTAAGTGATAATAATGTCTGTTGCAATTGAAAATTACTAGTAATCAAACACATTGCGTCAACCAAATCACACTTGATGGAGATGCCTTGGAGCACGTTAACACCTTTATATGTCATGGCAGCACCATCGACCTAACCAAGGTGGATCTGATGTGGATGTGAGGGCGCGGATCGCCAAAGCAAGGGCTGCATTTCTACAATTAAACAACTATCAAAAAACACCAAAATCAGGATTTTCAATACAAATGTGAAGACAGTTCTACTGTATAGGTTGGTGGATA